TCTCCTGCAATGCTTCCACATGGCTACTTCTCTTCCATCTGCATTTTCTGTTCCCGTGTAGGAACATCCACATCATAGACAGCATGTCTCCCCCCAGCTGAATACAGAAACAGTACAGAAAACCTTCCACATTTTATGTCAAGCTGCATCTCAAGGGACACCTTTGCTTCGCTTCACTTTACACCTCAAACTAGACGTAAATAAAATATCATCACAAAAGTCTCCGACTCAACAAAGTCCCTTAATCTTGCGGCGTGGTTTTAGAACAGTCTGGAGGGGGACGAGTTTGTTTTTCATGTGTAAATCGGTGGACACGAGATTTGATGAAAAGCGAGTGTTTGGCTTTCTCCTACTTTGTAAAGAAATAAAAGGAAAATGGGAAAGAAAAGCGCCCAGACAGGCAGAGGATGAGGGAGAAAAAAAGGGCTGAAAGAGATAACCAGAACAATCCGTCAGGACCTTAGCAGAAAAAAAGACTGCAGCCTCACTCATCCATTGAAGGAAGGAAAAGGTGTAAAGGGAGAGTGAAGGAGGTCAGAGAAAGAGAGCGCAGGTGATGGTATTATGCTGCTTGTGTCACAGCCAGATAAAGGCTCCTCTGCCGCCTGGCTGTCATCTGCATTGCACACAATATCCCCTTTATTCACAATATCACCCTTTTCTATTTTGCTTCATCTGCCACCCTGGTGGAGCAACTCCCAATGTGCTTCACTTTTTCTCTTCCCATCACACCGCTGCCAGCAATACTGCATACATCATTCCCTATCATCCTCTGTTCTACCCTCTCTTATGCTCCAAAGAAAACTGTACGGTGCTGCCCTTTTTTCCTCACGCAAATATCAAGAGTATTCCTGCTTTTTTTCCCCTTATTCTTTCTGCTCACGTGCCATCTCCTTATCAAACATAGTTCTTAGAGGAATACTAGTATTTCTGCCACACATATTGCTTTTATTTTCTACTGTATTACGGCAAGTGCAGCAGGTCACTGTGATTGTATGCTCAACATGCCCTGTTTTTAGTAGGGTGGTCGCCTCTTAGGTTGTTTTCCACAAATTTGAGCACAAATAGTATTTTGGACAGTGTGTACACCTTGCAGCTTGTGCTTTTAACATCCTTAAAGAAAATTACTGGCCAAAAGGAACTACTTGTTCCCAGAGATCTGAGGATATTTTATTCTGACCTGGTGGACACTATTGAGGAAATGCTGAGGTTATGCCTGCAAGATAGAAAAAAAAAAAACACCTTTTGACCTAAATCCCCTATCAGACCATACTTTCAGTCCATGAAAATCACCTACACTCATGATTATTCTTGTGATCATCAAAATGATTTTGTGTAGTGATGGGGGTTGAAGTTGACCTATCCCTGCTGTGCATCGTGACTGAAACCGTGATGTGATGTCAGGCTTACACGGCTACAAAGCGAAAACAGATGCAGCAATGTCTGCTCATGCAAGAGCAGCACATCGCGATCTCTTATTGTCTGTCTAATCTGAGAAATAAACGAAGAACAGAGCTTTGTGGTTGTGTGTTACTAAGAAAGCAATAATGTAAAAATGCTTATTGAGCACTGGTGATAAGAGCATCTTGAAAACACACACAATATATAACACAAATGAGAAAAACTGATTCATGAAAAGAATCAGCCAAGAAACAGTACTGGCCTTTAGCTGCTATTTATTTATTTTTTTGGAAGTTTGCTCCAAAATGTAAAATTTGCCCTTAAACATGATTAAATTTCTCACCACTGTGCTACAGACAATCTGGGACAGTAATGTCCACAATGAACCAGAACTGTCCTGAGAATCCCGTACCAGGATTCTGCTTTCAGATTTCTTTTGTTAATTATCCGGGTTCAAAAATAAGATATAATGTGGCCATAAAATGTTAGATTTCCTATGTTTGAATGGCATATATACCAAGTAGTTTTATGTTAATAAAAGAACCCCATCTGATTTTCCACCATCATCAAGCCACATTTTAGTCAAGTATCTCATTAAATCCTAGCTGATTGTTTTTTCTTTACACTTTTTAATTCAATTCTTACATTGGTTCTTCCTCAGTGAGTAAAAGAGTGAGTCAATGTGTCATATAAAAAAAAAAACATACGTGAAAATAAATTTACTTGACCAGAAAAACTATTGAACTTCTTTGCTCAGATGAGGTGTTGTTTCATTTCTCCCTTCCAAAGTCCTTATCATATAATCATTTCATTAGAATTCAGTCAAAATGTTCAGCTCTGTTTCTAATCTCCCGTCATGGTTAACTTCAAAAACTGTCAACCATTTGCAAAATTGTCATTAATCTTTTACTTCTTCAATAAATGCTCATCACGCACTTTAGTATGCTTCCTTTCTGTGATTCTCACAAAAGTCTTTACTCCATACACATGCATGCATTCTAGCTGAAGTCACTAAACCATGAAGAGACAGGGTGCAGTTCATTGCTCACCTTGGCTGGCTGGATCAATGGCGGTGTGCCTCCTCCAAATCCCTCCCACAAACAGACCTGAACAAACAGACACAGAGCATTTACACAGGCACTGATAATCCGCTAATCCATATAACCTGCTTTCTAATCAACACACACCCCCTCTCCCCATCCCCATCCCCTAACACACACACACACAAACGCAAACCTACACTCTGGAGTGAATGTGTACACTGATACAGTGTACATATAGGAACACAGGCAGATGAGTGTGCATATAAGCAGGAAATGCACACTTCTACACACTAATGTTTGCATGCACAGAGGCACACACAACTGACTTTTCCCTATTATCCTCTCTGACCTCCTCTGAGGGGTATGGTTGATAGTCCCACGGAGGTTGATAACAGACAGAAGGGTTAATAGGGATTAATGGACTGCACACACACAGTTGTGTAGACACACACACAAGAGAGAATTCCTGCACTGATGAGTTTACAAGCTTTTGTACATCTTTGAAGCGTGTGTGCAAGTGTGTGTGAGGATGAGTTTGTGCGGTTGATTATTCGAAGGAACTTATCATGTAGCTGTCTGCTGCACGCTGTTCCCACTGCTTGATGAGATAATTGAAGCGTGAAAAATCCGTATAGAGGATGTCAAAACTCCTAATGGGCTGAAAAGCATGGACACCCTGAGCACAGCGCTTAGTGTCATACAGATCAGACAGATTTTATCACTAGAAGGCGGATAGCCCCATTTATAAACTTTTAACCATTTGCCAATTTAATGACCTGTTTAGGGATCGCTAGACTATCTAACTGTCTGTCTCAGTGTATTTACTCTTTAACATTTTGCCATCTAATTATTCCGTCGTGAACAAGCTTTTCAACAGCTCATAAGTACATTTATGCGAGATTTATTACGGATAATCCAGGGTGGCAATTATCTTTAATTTGAATCATCAAGCATGTGCCATGTTATCGTAGAGCCCTGCACTGGTTTCCTCCAAACAAAAAAAGAGAGAGAGAGAGCTTAGGCATTAGCTGCAAACCTACTTTTAAATATGACATATTTTTATTTTAATCATTACTTTTCATTGACCCAAAGAGAAGATTGTCAACCTGCAGATAGGGTTTTGGGTTTGTTGTTAATTTATTTTTATCTTGGTTCTTGTATTTGGTCATTCCTTTACTCCAATCTTTCTTTAAGCCCTTAATTTTTACCTGTACCTCGGACACAGTGTGGAAAATTCAGACAACACAAAGTTTGAGAACACCTATTTCATTCTTTTTCCTACTAATTCCAGTTTGGCCAACTCTTTCCTACTGTACATATCTTGTTTTGGTACCTTCTATTTTTACTCATCATAATTTCTTAGGGTTTGTCCTGCAGGTGCAAAGTCCGATGCTTCCTGTCCAACTTTAACTTTGTTTTGTGTAATACTGGCTACATTCACTTCATCCTTGATTTAATCAAATCACCTCTTCTAACTTCAACCACCCCTACATTTAGATCCATGTCCCCCACATCCCTTTGTCGACCCTTCTTTGAAGTTTTACCCTCCTCATCAGCAAAGCAACCTTTCTGTGTCTTTTCCATTTTGTACTTTGCAGTCATTTCATCTGGAATGCTGTAGTTTTATGTTGTGAACATCCTGCTTATGCTGCACTTTTTATATTTGTGCAATAAACTGGATTTTGGCCTCTCTCTGTCTCTGCATTTAGGTAGCCCCTCAAGCACCATTTGTTGTTGTTTTTTTGACACCAGCTAGGAGCCAGATTTTAAAAGCAAAACAGAATAAAAAACTGGAAGGTTTGGACTAGCTGATCACTATTACCTTGCAATTACAGAGAAGAATATTTTGCAAACTTTGGATAGATTTTTACCTGACAAATAATCAAATGATCTTTCAATATTTTGAAAGAAAGCACACACAAAAAAAACGTCCTTCCAGCATTTCCAAGACACATCTGCTCTGCACATATACTGGTCTCAAATGTGAAACGGAATGGACCCGATGGGACTTTAAACCCCAACTCTCGCAGACAAACATCTTTTGTCCTTACCCCACTGCTTCCTACTTCCTTCTGCAGACTTTACGACTTGCTACAAAGCAGCATTTGCTCCCAGGGTCAACGATAGCAGGTGTTAAATCACAGCATCACAGAGGACACCTTGTATGGTATCTCCGAGATTCTGCCAGCTGTGACAAAATGGCTCAATTTGATGCTCTTAGAATGAGAGGTTGGCTTGACAAAAGCTAAAGGGCTTACATACAGCCTCGCTTGGCAGGCAGTCCGCACAAGGGAGGACGGACGCTGCAGTTTGAAAGAAGACGATGGTGAAACCACCAACGTATGATCAGATGTATTTGATGCTGCGTTTATAGTTATCAGTGGGCTTTTTTCAACCAGCTTCTCTTTTAGCTCGTCATTAGACTGTAGCGATGTTACTCGTTATGCTTTTGGTAATGGTGAAATGTTATTCATGACATAATTTGAATCAGACTTAAATGATTTTATCCTTCAAAATATGTCTCTCTCTCTCTCTAGCAACCTGTCTGCTCTCTCAATGTCGTCTCCCCTCCCCCTCTCTGTTCAGGTGCGGTGGACAAAGACGGCAGGCAGCGCTTCAGACAAGTTTCAGGAAACCTCCATCTACAACGAGACGCTGCGCATCGAGAACATCCAGCGGGTGCAGGGGGGCCGCTACTACTGCAAGGCCGACAACGGGGTGGGGGTGGCTGCCATCAAGTCCATCCGCGTAGATGTGCAGTGTAAGTGGGCAGAGAGAAAAGAGGAAAAGAGAACACTCCTTCCACTTTTAGGCCACAGCAGACTCTCACTGCAGCCATTCCCACATTAGAGAAGGTCGAGATGGGCAGAGATGGAAAGATAGCAGGAGGAAAGATGAAAGACTGATTGGATGGATGATGAGATTTCAGGTGGGAATGGTTTCCAAGAGTATCTGATGAATTACGGTTGAGAGGATGAAAAACATGCTAGGAGGATTCAGCGAGAAGGGTCGGTAGTTCAAATTAAGCTGAATTAGAAAATACTGTAAAACAAAAAGGCTCTATGCAATAAAACAACTGTTTTTTTTATTTTCCTAAATATTTTTCTCTGTGTAATAATTAGCAAAAACAAAAAGCAAGGCTTACATTCCTATAAAAGCTTGTCCTTACAGTCAGTAGCACATACTATTCTAAAATTAAATATGAAAGTAATTATTTAGAGAAATTAAAGCAGAAGGAAATATTTGGCTGCACAAAAAGCAGTTCCTTCCTTTTTGCTTTGGAAGATATTCTCAAAATAAATTGGAAAAAAGAGTTGAAATAATAGAATCAGCAGCACCAAGCCATTGTTGTTGGATCTGTTGGCTTTCTGTTACTCTACTACACCTACCAGTACATTATTTGAGAAATAGAAATAGAATTTCAACCAGAAATTGTGACTGATCTAATTAATGATGTTTGAAGGTCTAAAATTTTGAATGTATTCATATTTTTTACAAATGCTCTACTTCACCAATACAAGTCAAAAGAAACAAAGACACCTTTCATCAGATACTTTTGGGGAAAAAAGTGAAGCCTGTTGGACCTAAAGTGAGTTTTATAACAGTTAGTCCAGGTGGCACGGGCTCCCTAACTCAATGTTTCTTACCCAGTTTCTGTCCTAAATGAATGGGAGCGAGACAACAATGAACCACTTGATTTGTCAGAGGTTTGAACTGAAACACTCTGTGTCAAATATCGTCACAGCCAAATTGAAATTTAGAATGTAAATCAACAATCGGATAACAATTTACAAATAACTTCCCATTTTCAGCCCCTCTCTGACTCGCTTTTTTGTTCTGGAGGTCTACATCGGCCCTGTTGTTTATGCAACAAAGGATACCAGATTTAATTGCAAAGCTCTGTTATACTGATAACAGTAAATTTTCAGGGTGCGGCTCTGTGTTGAAGAGTTTTACCCTGTTAGCACACTACTCTGAGACTCACTGCATTTTCAGAATTTCTAATTAAAACTAAGTAAACTGCTGAAATAAAGGAAGCTGTAACATGATTTACAGATCTCTTTTAATTATCCGGTAGTCAAGTATCTTTTTTTTTTTTAATGCTTAAAGGAGGACAGAATCATCGTCCTGTCATTTATCAAAAAAAGAAAGAAAACTCCATTAAGGATCACCTCTTCTGTTCTGGCATTTGGCCAGCAAATCAAACGGCTTTCACATTGTTGAACAAGCGACAGCTGGGAAGCGGCATTGTGTTGTAGGGGTCCCGTGCTGCTGCTTGTTTCACTGCCCCACTGTCCCAGTGAGTCAGGGGCCAGGTCACGGTCGAAGGTTGCTTAACACAACACTCTGTACATCCATGCAACATGCTTCTGAAGCCCTAAGATCCTCACTCATGTGTTAAATCTATTGTTGTTGTTTTTTTTTTTTCCTTTGCTGATTCAATCACCTTAATGGCAGATTTATAGACTCATAGAAAAACATCCCTTTTACCGAGGGCATTGCAAAATTTAACACCAATTACTTTCTTGTCACTGAACTCATTTTTGTTGGCTTTGGGTAAGGTGCAGTGCAAAGGAGTGAACCATTTCACATGCACCACAGGAACACACACACACACACGCACGCACGCACGCATGCACGCACGCACGTTTGTGCCATGCTTGTCCCTTTGAGATTCATCATTTAGCCCTGGCCCTCCCTTTGCCTTTTAACAAGGCTTTCCCTCCCTTCTTCTTCTCCCACTTCTTCTTTCTGCTGATAGTGTTAGTCCTCCCCAGGAGTTAGCTCTGTCCTTGCTGGGGAGCTGGTGATTGCAGGGGGGCCTAGCAAGTAAACAGGTTGCGTTGTGAGTGTAGTTGTGACAGGGGCTCTGTGAAGCTAACCAGCTCTGACGGTCAATGCTTGTTCAATTCCCTGTCCCCCATGCTGTGTTAGACCCAGTGGCGATCATCTGTGCTCGCTTCACCGAGCATCTTTAGTGCTAGGACGATGTAACAATTAGCCAAGGCTTCCAGAGAAACACGGGGAATGAGAGAGACGAACGTGGAGGGCAAGAAAGATTAAGAAGTGAGGACGTAACAGCAAGGTTAGCTGGCCAGAAATATCGACAAAGACAACTATTTAACGTCGATGCTTCTCCAATACCTTGATTTTTGACAAAAAAATGATTGAAGTATGTTTGATGGTAAGAAAAATAATGGTTAACTTACTAGTATTTTAAAGATTTTATGCATTGTGCTTATCAATTGATAAATGTCAATCATTCCACACCAGTTCTAATTTTGGATGTAACTAAACAATGTCACTTGAGAAAATTGCTTTCCTCAACCATTTTTGAAGTCACTTCAGTGACTGCTTGCTTAAGAAAAATCCTCCACATTGTTGCTGCCAAAAAAGTCATTTTTGGATGGAGCCAATAACAACAAAAGCAGTTTGTGTTAAACTCCAAATCCCCAAAGCAACTTGGAAAAAAAAAAATCTGAGATATCACAAATGAAATCTTAGTTTTTTTACCAAACTGCCACGAAAATGAAAAAAAAAATGTAATTTTAAAAAGATAAATAGAACTATACTTTGAGGTGAAATACAAAAGGTTGGGTTACAAAACGGCGATATGCAGTAGGTAGTGATGTGCAGATCAAACTCTTGTCACCTTTAGAGCAGTGACATTTCCGTAACCAGCTGAAGGACAAAATCAACTGAAAATTGTACTCTGGAGTTTGCTACAACAAAGCAAGGGGAAAAAAAATATGGCGAAGCAGAAAAAGTCACAAATGGAGTCAAATCAACAAATAAAAATCGTTAAAAACAAGAAAAATCAAAGCAATAGAGTTTCAGGTGGGACAGTAGATACATTATGTTTCCTAAATGAAATAGACCTAAAGGGCAGGACATGCTGTTACTCATACAGAGCACAGCAAGACATTTAAATGTCCTATTTCCATCAAAGTTTATCCATTTTATCACTTCATTCTTAATTCATATCACATGCTAATCTACTTCCTCCCTTTTTTCCTCTATGAAACATACCAGTGGTTGGAACGAGAATCAACTGAATCATTTCAAGGTTTTACATAATTTTGTGCACAGACTGACCAACTTTAATGTAGAGTGGTTCCAATGAAAAAAAAAAGAAGCTGTACAAGTACATGCAGGTGAATGTGATTAAAGGAGTAGTGAATAGGCATAAAGTGATTCAAGTTATACATCTCAACAGTCCTGGGGATCAGCGTTGGGTTTTGATAGAGTAGGAAGGTAAACAGTAGGTAGTAAATAAATAGCATCCATCCATCCATCCATCCATCCATCCATCCATCCATCCATCCATCCATCCATCCATCCATCCTTCTTTCTTTCTTTCTTTCTTTCTTTCTTTCTTTCTTTCTTTCTTTCTTTCTTTCTTTCTTTCTTTCTTTCTTTCTTTTTTTCTTTCTTTCTTTGTTTTTTTCTTTCTTTCTTTGTTTCTTTGTTTCTTTCTTTGTTTCTTTCTTTCTTTCTTTCTTTCTTTCTTTCTTTCTTTCTTTCTTTCTTTCTTTCTTTCTTTCTTTCTTGTCCCTTAGTGGGGTCAGGAGGTGCTGGTGCCTATCTCCAGCTAACGTTCCGGGCGAGAGGCGGGGTCACCCCGGACAGGTCATCAGTCTGTCGCACAGCAATACCCATTTTCTCTAAAAATTTCTAATTTCTTAAATTATTTAGGGACTCTAACACAGAACTAACATTTTATTTTCAGAAGGAAACAAAATCCTTAAATATATAAAAAAATATAAGATGGTGATACCATCTACAGTAAGTCATACTACTCTAATGCAATTGAACACTGAATACCACTACTTTGATTCATTACACAGTCCTCAAACTGGGAGTACATAAAGAGTTACTCCACATTATCCACTTCATTTACTTATGTTTACACCTGAGTTATATTTAGTACCACATGCAAACACACATTTTTTGGGTCTTAATTATAGTTCTAAATAATAACAGTTATTTAGAAGAAACTTGTATTTACAATAATAACCTGGTGGCAGGGAAGACCACATAGGCAGGTGAAGCAGCACATTTTCACAGTAAACAACTGTTGAGGTCATTAAACAATAAAACCAATACGGCGCCAAAGCCATAGGATAAAACTCACATTAAATATTTAGTTGAAAAAATTGCAGCTTTCAGACAACATGTACTTCAAAATATCTTTAGAAATTTCTATTGCAAAATGTAAAACAGAAAACAATGTGGCAGCAGTTTTAGAGTCAACCAGCACTTATGAACTACCAACACGGTGATGTTAGAAACCATAAATATAAGCAATTGGCACACTGTCAGTAATTTATTCCATGTTAAGCTTGTATGAGTTAAAACTATCAATATTAGGTGTATGCAACTTGTGGGTAATATGCACACTGGTTGTTCTGTGATGAAAAGTAAGCTCACTGCAAGCAACAACACACAATCTGAAAGCCAGCTGAAATTTAGTACAAAGCAGTATTTTTTTTTCTTTTGTTTACCTCTAAAAACAGAACAAGATTTTTTGTAAATTGATTTGTTATTTTAGCTTGACAAAATCTATTTTTTGACCAGACACACTCATAACTTGAATCCATTTACAATTGTACTCAAATACACAAGGCCAAAAGCACACACTCTCACACTTTGAAGTGTGATAGTGAGATGTACTACAGGGAAGAAAAAGGAAGTGAGAAAGCGAATGATAGGTGGAAACTGAAAAGACAGCAGGGAAATGAGTGAAGGCTTTCTGGACTG